CCCTCGACCCCCTCATCCTCTTCAAGCCGCTCTGCTTCCCCACCCCAGTCCTCCTCCAGACCTTCTCCTCCTTCCAGTCTCTCCCCACTTTATCCCTCCAACTCTGTTCTTGTTGTAGTTTCCTCTCCCTCGCGGGCCGCTCCGGTGCACCCCCCCACGTGTGGGCCCGGGGCCTAAACCACGGCCGGCTGCGGCTGCCCCTCTCCCCCCGGTTACGGTGAGGCCTCGCTCTGCCTCCCCGCGAGCCGAGGAGGGGGGCGGTGCTACCGTCTGGCTGGCCTGCAGCAGCCGAGCCACGACTGCACAGCCGGAGACTGTGATAGTAGCGACCCCCGGGCGGGTTCCCACTGACCTGGCTGTCGGGCAGCGATGAGCTCCGTCTGTATCAGCCTCAGGCCGCAGGCTCCGCTCGGCTCCACGCTCCCAGTGATGGCGGCGGTGACGTCAGCTCGTTGCTGCGGGTGGCCGCTCGGCATTCTGGGGCTTGTAGTCCAGGCATTTGGGCATCACTGCGCATGTGCAGCATCGTAGTTTCTAAAGGTGGCGGGGGAGCTGTTGTGGTGCAGTGGTTCTGTCCTTACTTGTGGACTAGGAGACCTCATTTGCTCCAGATGTGTGTGTGTACTAACGTCTGTCTGTACAGGTTCTTTTATAAGCAGTAAAAGAATTTACAGCTTTGGCTGTAGTTCATCCGAATTTTATTCCTCCTTCACTGTAGGTATTTAACCAAGCTGTTCAGAAAACTTCGGAAGCAGGTGGGATTTGAACCCAGTCCTCCAGAGGTGGTAAGTATGCTATCCCTGTGCTAATTCCTGTTTGCAATCTGAATTTGCCACACGGTGCTCGTTGTTGTCTTTCAATTGTGTTAGAAAGGGTTTAGGGTTAGGAGCCTTGCAGGCTTGGAGCTAATCCCTTTCAAAGCGGGGTCATGCCTTCCCCGCCCGTTCAAGGCGCGTTAAAAAGATTGTCTGGCTCTATTCCAAGTGAAACCAATATTTGTCACCAGCCAACAGCAATCAAAATGCAGAAAACTGAAAATCATTAATTAAAAACAGACTTGTTGGTCATCATAATGTTTTTAGTCCTGTACTGCAGAATAAGTATGTTGAGTTAAACTAAACATTAATTTTATTTAAGAACCACATTGCTGAGGCTTTATCTGGCCTGGAGGCTGTGAGAGGATAATGTGACAATTCATTACTTTCTTTATTGAGGCCATCTGTATATCATTAGTATATCATTCATACTTCATTTTCTAATAATGGATATCACTGTTTAGTCTTTGGCAGTGAAGGGCAAGTGCTGTAAACTGGCCTATGTTTTCCATCTGTACCTGAAACAGAATAGCTTCCAATCCTACAGAAGATGCATTTGTAGCAATTAGGATTGGTAGCAATGGGTCATAGTGACCAGCATTAATCATCCCTAATTGCCTTGCAAATTGGGCGGAGGACTGTCTTCTTGACCAGTTGCAGTTTACATGATGTAGGTAGATCCACACTGCAGTTAGAGACAGACTTGCAGAATTCTGATACAGTGACAGTGAAGATATAGTGGTATGGTTCCATGCCATGTGGAGGGCAATTTGCAGGTGGTGTTGTCTTTCTAGCTGGCAGATGACACAGATTTGGTGCTGCCTAAAGACATGTCTAAAAAAAATGTTCACTTTGCTTTCTTTCCACAGATGCTGCTAGATGTGTTCAGTTTCTCCAGCAGTTTCTGTTTTTGTTTCAGTCCTCTAGCATCTGCAGTTCTTTGTTTTACTTTGTCATCAACAACTGGTCACCATTTCACAGACCAATCAGCTACTTGTTGCTGGCCAAATCCATTGTACACACACACACCCCTGCCTGTAGCCTGGCTGCAGTAACCTTCCCTCCAATACCTGAACAAGCAGCAGTGTAAACAACACTTAGTGTGTGTCAGCCGCCTAACTTTAGAAAGTGCAGTAATTTCTTCCACAATCCTTGGCATTAAAACAGAACTTTTCCCATTTCAGTCCACAATTTAAAAAACACAGAAAAATAGAAAGATATGGTCTTTACCTACCAAACTGACTACAGTGTGGATTTATGATACAACCTGGTAAACAGTGGTGAGGATTCCAGTGAGCTTTGAAGACTTTTCATACTCAGAGAAGGCTACTTGTGCAGGCAGTAGTAACTGCAAAACCTGAACATTCGTAAGACCTACAGAAAAGCCTCTAATGGCCGGATTTGACAAGACAGGATCGATCGTTTAATAGTAAAAAAAATTCAGACGTGATAAGAGATGCACAGATTCAGGGGTAAGCTAGAAGTTACAATGGAGCTGGAACAGTAGTCAGAACTGTAATGTTTTAGCGAAGATCTGTAGCTTAGGTTGAGGCTGGAGTTGTTGGTTGGTTCGTCGAACTGACTGGTTTTCGTGCAAATGTTTCATACTCATTCTAGGTGACATCTTCAGGGCTGTCTAGCCTCTGCTGTAGCGCTGTTGTTCTGTTCCGTTCTGAATTTATATGATCCGGTCTGTCATGGTGGGTAGTTCTGTTTCCAGTTTTGCCAGAAAGCGGAGGCTAGGCAGCACTGAAGATGTCACCTAGAAGGGGGACGAAACGTTTGCATGAAAACCAGTCAGCTTGGGGAACCAACCAACAACCCCAGTAGTCAGACCTGACAGTTACAGATTCCATGGGGCCCTGGCGAACTGTAGGAACAACCCTGAAACAAAGTTTAGCTGGTGTGCAAACAGATGTCTGAGTTACCTTGAGTAAAGTTGAAATTTCTGGTAGACAAGGGGGAAGATTTTAATCGGTGGGGACAATTACAGGCTGAGAAAGCCAGAAGCAAGTACAGTACTTACAGAACAGAGTCAGTTTGGCACCTTGGTGTCAGGCACCATGAGGCATGGCTATAGTTAGGGAAATCAAAGGCTGCAGAAATATTTTTAGAATAAGATCATAGTACCAGCAACATTGTAAAGTCAGAATTAAAACAATATTGAGGCATTTTAGAATAATATGCAAAGAAAGTCTATCAAAAAAAGAAAGTTCAGAGACTATTGAAGCTACAGAAGTAGGAGATCCATTATTCAAACCACAGTAAATGTAAGAAGAATTTATGAAGACAACAGGAGTGAGACTAATCCATGATTAGTTAGGGCATAAAAACAGAAATTGCTGGAAAAGCTCAGCAGGTCTGGCAGCATCTGTGGAGAAAGTTAACGTTTTGGGTTGAATGACCCTTCCTTAGTTAAGGCAATGGCAATTACTAATAGCACCACAGATAGTGCAAATCATCTAGGAAATTCATTGAGGACAATAAAATTCATCATATATAGCCACAAAGAGTGTGATTCATTCTGTAAAGCTGTGGAGAGAACAGAATTGTCTTTAACAGACTTAACCAGACAGCTAGATTTATTTAGTAAGATTTCAAAACTGATCATGAAGTCTGCAACTAATATAATGTTGGCAGAAATGTTTTTTTCACCCCTACATTTATTGGAGAAAGTTCAGACAGCAGGGGTCAGCAAAGTTAGTCAGGAAATGCCAATGATGAGAGAGTTAATGTGCAGTGTATCTCCATTCAGCTCATTGATGAGTCTGTACCTTGTATTGTTCAAAGCGGCTGGGGAACAAATCATTATGGAAGACTTGAATCTGATGTTATGCTGAAAGGCCACAAGTTCAAGTAGAATGTTTCATTTATTCAAGGAAGAATAAATGTCACTGTATCAGAATTCTGCAAGTCTGTCTCTAACTGCAGTGTGGATCTACCTACATCATGTAAACTGCAACTGGTCAAAAAGATGGTCCTCTGCCCAATTTGCAAGGCAATTAGGGATGATTAATGCTGGTCACTATGACCCATTGCTACCAACCCTAATTGCTACAAATTATGCCAATTAAGGAACAATCCTCCAGTAGTAAAAGTAGAAAAGTAAACAGGTTGGATTCATGGTAAAGCAATATGTGTCGGCACAGCGGCTCAGTAGTTAACATTGTTGTCTCAATGTGCCACAGACCCAGGTTCGATTCTACCCTTGGGCAACTGTCTATCTGTAGTTTGCACGTTCTCCCTATGTCTGCATGGGTTTCCTCCCACAGTCCAATGATGTGCAGGTTAGGTGGATTGGCCATGCTAAATTGCCCATAGTGCCCATGGATGTGCAGGCTAGGTGGATTAGCCATGGAATATGCAGGGTCATAGGGATAGTACAGGGATGCTCTTCGGAGGGTTAGTGTGGACTTGATGGGCTGATTGGCCTGCTTCCATACTGTAGGGATTCTATGAATATAAATCAGCACTTTGAAGTGCAAAGTCTATATAGTTCATCATAGATTTGTTGGCAGTTTGTGAATATTGATTCTGTTCTTGACAGTCTTAGAAGATCTATCAATTTTTGCAAGTCTGAAGAGAACATGTCCTGGCAAAGTAATAAAACCATCAAGATCACCTCTATTTGTGAAATCAGAGATTTGGGGGCTGAGCTGGAGTAGTGGTAAATGTAATTACATACACACATGTATAAATCTTAATTATGGACCAAAAGCTTGGGGGAAAATTTCAAAGGTATTTGGCTTTAAAAGGTTAATGTTGAAGAGTGCAATATTACTGTCCAAAATGATAATGTTACACTGATTAGGCAAGTGGGCCAGGGATATGTCAGGGAACAGCTCTGCATCTCAAAGGAGACAGACCTATCATCCAGGTCTCCCTCATAGTCTTAGTAACAATGCCTATTGTTCAAGTGTAACTTGTACCCGATTGCCATAATTTAATAAATTACATCTTGTTTAAGACTAGAGCCTCTTTTCATTAGACTGTCAAGTGATTTTCCTCAACCATATCAGACAGGTCCCAACCTCAAAGGAGGATGATGGCAGCAGCAAATCTACTTCATGTATTAACTCTCACTAAGTTACCTGTGGGGGTGAGGATCTAACATACAACAAGCGTAGCTGATGAGTTGAATTGCTTTTGATCATGTAAGTTATTCCCTGACTGCAAGTGGTCAGACAGTGCTGCATCTAAGACTTCAATAACAATTCTGTCCTTGATTAGTTCTCCTTTTAAACTGCCACACTCTCGGTTCTCTGCAGGGCTGTGCAGATCATTGATAACAATATCAATAAGTTTCCCTTTCTTGCTGGATACACTTATTAAATTTAGCCATTTCAACAATGATATGCTTTTGTAGATTGAGTGGTTTTATTACTCCCTTATACATAGCTTTTTTTCATTGATCCCTTCTCTGTTTAGGACGTCATCTACATGGCCTCTCCATTGCACATGCTATTGTACTGACATGCTTGCTGCTTGGTTTTGCAGCGAGGCCGAATGCAGTGTGCTTCTAATCCAGCCATGCTTCTGTTTGTGTGGCACATGCAATCTGCTCAAAGTTTTTAACAACAAAAGAGAGATTTCCTTCACATTCTTTTACATGCTGCCACCAAATAATATTCTTAGTCTTGTTGTGCTGCTAAAGATTATTTCTGGATGTTGTTGAAGTAACTTTATTTAAGAAACAGCTATTAAGAAACAGCAGCTTCATTTTTTATTACAGAGTCATAGAGTCAGACCCTTTTGCCCAACTCGTCCATGCTGACCAGTTTCCCTAAACTGAACTAGTCCCAGTTGCCTGCATTTGGCCCATGTCCCTCTAAACCTTTCCCATTAAAGTAACTGTCCAAATGTCTTTTAAATGTTGTAATTGTATTTGCCTCTACTACTTCCTCTGGCATCTCATTTGTGTACGCACCCAAATCTTTCCCCTCTTACCGGTGCGGTGCTCAGTGGTTGGCACTGCTGCCTCACAGCACCAGGAACCCAGGTTTGATTCCACCCTCGGGTGACTGTCTGTGTGGAGTTTGCACATTCTCCCCATGTCTGCGTGGATTTCCTCCGGGTGCTCCGGTTTCCTCTCTCAGTCCAAAGATATGCAGGTTAGGTGGATTGGCCATGCTAAATTGCCTGTAATGTTCAGGGATGCCTAGATTAGGTGGGTTATGCAGGATGGGTCTGGGTGGGATGCTCTGAGGGTTAGTGTGGACTTGTTGGGCCGAAGGGCCTGTTTCCACACTGTAGGGATTCTATGATTCTATCTTTAAGCAACCATGTACCCGCATCCCTGTTTGACAGCATTCCCCAAAACCCTACCGTTAACTGTAAATCCTGCCCTGGTTTGTCTTACCAAATGCAACAAGTTAAACTCTATATGCCATTCCTAGGCCCACTGGCCCAGTTGATCAAGACCCTGTTGTACTCTTAGATAACCTTCTTCACTGTCCACTATAACACCAATTTTGGTGTCATCTACAAAATTATTAACCATGTTTCCTACAGTCTCATCCAAATTGTTTATATATATGAGGAACAGCAGTGCACTAATCCTTGCGGCACGCCACTGCTACCTTTCAAGGGATTTGAGCAGTGCTGGAACAGTCAGCATTTGTTATCCATCTTGAATTGCCCTTGAACAATGTGTTTTGCTAGGTTATTTTAGAGGATAGTTAACAGTCCATCACAGTTCTGTGAATTTGGAGTACATGTAGGCCAGACCAGGGAAGGATGGTCAATTTGCTTCTTTTAAGGACATTAGTGAACCAGATGAGTTTTAATAATGATTGATAATGTTGTAATAGTCATGATCACTGAGACTAGCTTCATTTTCAAGATTTAGGCCATAAGCACAGCCCATCTAGTCTGTTCTACCATTCAATGAGGTCATGTCTGAGCTGATAATCTTCAACTTCACTTTTCTTCTTTTTCCCCTTTGATTTCGTTACCAATTAATAATCTGTTAGTGTCAGCCTTGAATATGCATAATAGCCCAACCTCTATAGTTCTCCGTGATAAAGAATTCCACAGATTCAGTACCTTCTAAAAGAAGAAATTCTTCCTTTTCAACTCTGACTAAATGGGTGACTGCTTATTCTAAGATTATATCCCTTGATCCTAGACTCTCCTACCAGGGAAACAACCTTTCTGAAGCTACCATGTCAAATCCCCTAAGATTCTTGTATGTTTCAATAAGGTCACTGCTCAATCTTCTAAACTCCAATGAGTAGAACCTCAACATACTTAACTTTTCCTCGTAAGAAAATCCCTCCATTCCTGGGATCAGTCTAGTGAACCTTCTCTGGACTGCCCCCAGTGTCAGTATATCATTCCTTAAATAAGGGAACTAAAACTGTTCACAGTATTCCAGCAGCGGACTGACTAGTGCCTTGTATAGTTTTAGCAAGATCTCACTATTTTTGTGCTTCATTCCATTTGAAGTAAAGGTCACCATTTAATTTGTCTTTCCAATTGCTTGAATTAAATATCCACATGCCCCTGACCACTTGCCTCGGCCTCTAAATTACTAGTTGTTACCATTATGCCACTGTCTTCCTCCCATTTTGCCACGAGGGTGGAAGACCAGGCAAGATCATGTGACATTGCATTACTTCCTCTGATGATGTTTAACGTCCTCATCAGCACAATCCAAATTTGACTGATATAAATCTCAACAGCAGCTCCAGTTTCCTCCACCAGTCCAAAGATGTGCAGGCAAGGTGAATTGGCCGTGCTAAATTGCCCATAGTGTTCAGGGATGTGTAGATAGGTGGGTTATGGGGGATGGGTCTGAGTGGGACATCTGAGGGTCGGTGCGGACTTGTTGGGTCGAAGGGCCTGTTTCCACACTGTAGGGATTCTGTGATTCTACAAAACTTAACCCCCATACTACAATGATCCCATTCGTATTTCTCGGAGTTTGCTGTGTATAATTTATCCTTCAGTGTATTTCAGGTTTTAGAACAACCATTAAAAATGTGTCATGTTTCAGCATAACTTGATGACAGAGAATTTTACATTCTAACCACCTAACATACAGAATGTTCTCTACTGTTGCCTTGAATTTTGTCTCTCTTGTTACTGTCTACATAACCAGAGGAAAAAAAATCGGTCATCTTTGATGAACACATTTGCTTATTTCTGAGATAACAAGGTGTGGAGCTGGATGAACACAGCAGGTCAAGCAGTATCAGAGGAGCAGGAAAGCTGACGTTTCAGGTCTGGACCCTTCTTCAGAAATGGGGGAGGGGAAGGGGATTCTGAAATAAATAGGGAGAGAGGGGGCGGCGGATAGAAGATGGATAAAGGAGAAGATAGGTGGAGAGGAGACAGACAGGTCAAAAAGGCAGGGGTGAAGCCAGTAAAGGTGAGTGTAGGTGGGGAGTTAGGGAGGGGATAGGTCAGTCCAGGGAGGACGGACACGTCAAGGAGGCGGGATGAGGCTGGTAGGTAGGAGATGGGAGTGGGGCTTGAGGTGGGAGGAGTGGCTAAGTGGGAGGAAGGACAGGTTAGGGAGGCGGGGACAAGCTGGGCTGATTTTGCGATGCGGTCAGGAGAGAGGAGATTTTGAGGCTTGTGAAGTCCACATTGATACCATTGGGCTGCAGAGTTCCCAAGAAAGTATGAGGTGTTGTTCCTGCAACCTTCGGGTGGCATCGTTGTGGCACTGCAGGAGGCCCAGAATGGACATGTCGTCCAAGGAGTGGGAGGGGGAGTTGAAATGGTTGGCGACTGGGAGGTGCAGTAGTTTGTCGTGAACTGAGCGTAGGTGTTCCACAAAGCGGTCCCCAAGCCTCCGCTTGGTTTCCCCGATGTAGAGGACACCACATCAGGAACAGCGGTTACAGTATACCACATTAGCAGATGTGCAGGTGAACATCTGTTTGATGTGGAGGGTCTTCTTTGGGCCTGGGATGTGGGTGGGGGGGAGGTGTATGGGCAGGTGGAGCACTTCCTGCGGTTGCAGAGAAAAGTGCTGGGGGTGGTGGGGCTGGTGGGGAGTGTGGAGCGGACAAGGGAGTCATGGAGAGAGTGGTCCCTCCAGAAAGCAGATAAGGTTGGGGAGGGAATAATGTCTTTGGTAGTGGGGTCAAATTGCAGATGGCGGAAGTACCGGAGGATGATGTGTTGGATCCGGAGGTTGGTGGGGTGGTACGTGAGGACGAGGGGGATTCTGTTTTGGTTGTTATTGCAGGGAGGGGGTGTGAAAGATGAGTTGCGAGAAATGCGAGGGACATGGTCGAGGGCATTTTCGACCACTGTGGAGAGGAAGTTGCGGTCCTTGAAAAACGAGGACATCTGGGATGTCCAGGAGTGGAATGCCTCATCTTGGGAGCAGATGCGGCGGATGCGAAGGAATTGGGAATACGGGATGGCATTTTTGCAGGAAGGTGGGTGAGAGGAGGTGTATTCTAGGTAGCTGTGGGAGTCGGTAGACTTGAAATGGATATTGGTTTCCAGGTGGTTGCCGGAGATGGAAACAGAGAGGTCCAGGAAGGAGAGAGAGGTATTGGAGATGGTCCAGGTGAACTTAAGGTTGGGGTGGAAGGTGTTAGTGAAGTGGATGAACTGTTCCATTTCCTCGTGGGAGCACGAGGCGGCGCTGATACAGTCATCGATGTAACGGAGGAAGAGGTGGGGGATAAGGCCAGTGTAGCTTCGGAAGAGGGATTGTTCCACGTATCTTACAAAGAGGCAGGCATAACTTGGGCCCATGCGGGTACTCATGGCCACCCCGTTTGTCTGTAGGAAGTGGGAGGAATTGAAGGAGAAGTTGTTAAGGGTGAGGACGAGTTCAGCTAAGCGGATGAGGGTGTCAGTGGAGGGGGACTGTTCGGGCCCGTGGGACAGGAAGAAGCGGAGGGCCTTTAGGCCATCTGCATGGGGAATGCAAGTGTATAAGGACTGGACGTCCATGGTAAAGATGAGGTGTTGGGGACCAGGGTATTTTGAGCTGTAGCTTTTTATTGTACTTTTAATTTGGCATATGTATTCATAATTGTGGACTGTTGTCGAGTACCCCTTAAAATTCACCATGAAATACATCTCAATCCCTTAAGTCTTTTTCATTAGTGTAAATCGTCATCCTTGGCAATATTCTGTACTCTGCATTTTCACTGTTTTTATATTCTTGTTGAATGTGTTGTTGAAAACTATACACAATATATCACAGGTGACCTAGGATATGGCCTGAATTGAACATTAGCCCCTTGCTACAATTGCAAAATACCGCAAATGCGAAATAAAGACAGGAAATACTCAGTAGATTGGGCAGCATGTGTGAAGAGAGAGGCAGTGTCAATGGATCTGAAGATACTGCAGACTTTAAAATGGTTGGTGGGAACCAGATGCAGAAGACTCACCCCTATTCCCAACAGATCTCATTTTTACTGGTAGGAGACAGGTGTGATTCACACAGGACAGAAACCTGAACTCTGCAGGGATATTTCAGCTTAGTGTTGAGATCAAACCGATTCCTTTTAGGTGAGTCACAGTTTGGTACCATGATGTGGAGGTGCCGGTGTTGGACTGGAGTGGGCAAGGTCAGAAATCAGACCAGGTTATAGTCCAACAGGTTTATTTGAAATCACAAACTTACGGAGCGTAGCACCTTCTTCAGGTGAAGTGAGATCGAAGCACACAAACACAGAATTTATAGGCAGAGAGATCAAGGGCAGAGAGATCAAAAGACCACACAAATGGTGTGAGCGGAGTGTTGAATAATAGGTGATTAAAAGTGTCAGACGGTGTGAGTAAAATGTCAAAAGCTGAATAACAAGTGAAGCGATGACCTAAAATCCAACTAAATGAAGCAGAGAGACAAATTACAAAAAATTAAAAATAAGGTGGTGCTGGAGACAAACCAAATGACTGGAACAACGATAGGTATAAGAGTTGCATGCCGAGGGTCTAACCAAAATAATGAGTGATCCAACACCATACAATCCTGTCATGGCAACCTCTGCAAGACATGTCAGAACATCGACACAGATGCTACCATCACACATGGGAACACCAGCCACCACGTACATGGCAGATACTCGTGTGACTCGGCCAGTGTTGTCTATCTGCGGGCAAGGATATCTTGAGGCGTGGCATATTGGTAAGAACATGCAGATGCTATGACAACAGATGAATGGACACTGCACAACAATCGCCAGACAGGAGTGTTCCCTCCCAGTCAGGGAACACTTCAGTGGTCAAGGGCATTCGGCTGCCGATGTTCAGGTAAATGTCTTCCAAGGCAACCTTCGAGATACACAACAATACAGAATCGCCGAGCAGAAATTGATAGCTAAGTTCCGTAACCATGAAGATGGCCTCAACCGTGATCTTGGGTTCATGTTGTGCTACATGTGACTCCACCCTACTGTTCAGTATCTGTAAAGTGTTCCTTATGGTCCTGTTTTGACACCATCACCTTGATAAATTGTTATGATCTCTCTACCTTGATTAGTTTGTACAGTAAATTCTGTGTCTGTGTGCTTCCCTCTCACTTCACCTGACAAAGGACTACACTGTGAAAGCTTGTGCTTTCAAATAAACCTGTTGGACTATAACCTGGTGTTGTCTGATTTCTGACAATTTGGTGCAGTAGATATTCTTCAGGAGTGTATAAGATTGTATAATTGATGTTTTTTAAAATGCCCCACTCTTTAAACTTGTAAGAAAAAAGAAACAGGCTGAAGCAGTCTGAGAATGAAAAGAAAACATCATGATTGACATTAAATGCAGGTCAGAAAAATAAACACCTGTTTATGCAGTTTCTCAATCGAGTTTTTTTTTTGATATCTTTCCAAGGGCTAATACATGGGATGATAATTGTCGGCTGAGTTTCAAAAACTACATTCTCAAAACAGGGATTTCTAAGTTCACAGTTTCTGTGACAGTTTAAAAAAGTTTAACGGAATAGCTATTTTTGTTGTGGCATTATGAACCCATTACCTTCTTACTCAAACAAGAGTGCTATTAATTATGCTGCATCTGACACAGTATAGGCAATATGACATTGGCTAACCAAAGCATGGAAAGGGAAAATACCTACCTTAAAGAAATTAGAAAATGAATAGTCATTGAAGGGTACACAGTCCCTTAGGGACCTTAAGCTTTTTGTTTATTCATTCACTAGATGTGGGCATATCTGGTTAGGCCAATTGTTATTGCCCATCCCTAACTGCCCAGAGGACAGTTCAGAGTTAACCGAATTGCTGTTGGTCTGGAGTCACACGTAGGTAATGACAGCAGTTTCCTTCTCTCCACGACATTAGTGAACCAGATGGGTTTTCCTGACAATAGTCATCATTAAACTATATCATATTTTTAAAAAAATGAATGCTAAATACAACAGCTGCCAGATCAGCAGTCTAGTGTTAATACCATTCATTCAGCATGCCCCCCTCGCCCCCACCCTCCAGGATTGTGTGGCATTAATTGCATCATCTGTGAAAACAACATTTGAAATAACTTTCAATATGTTTATTCATTATTGTCCAATCAGTATAATGCTAAAAAAGTGAGTATTTCTTTGTAACAGTGCTTACATTCCCTAAAATAAAGTTGCCCTAAAAACAGTATATAGAATCAGTGTAAATCAATCTGCTATATTACAATTGCAGTTTCAGTAAAAACTCTAATATTAACGTAAAGCATTTACTTGAGTGAGATGTTATAAAAATGTGCACAAAGGTACATTTTATGCATTCATAAATTTGTCTTGAGCAAGAACATACGTGACAATTTTTAAAAATTAGCATTTTTGAAGTAATTATCAATGAAAAATAAAAAAAAATGACAAATTATTATAAATGAAATACCACCACATATCTAAAATTCCATCAATGTTTATAATGTTGCCCTAACTTGTTGCACACAGAGTGTAACAGACTAAAAATCTAGGCTTGACATTGAATAATTGAGTGGCCACTGCATACTGGATGCATTTTATATGAGAAAGATCAAGAACTACCAATGAACATATATTGATGAGGGTAAAATTCCTCCTATAATGAGAAGACTCATGACTGAAATGCACTTTCAGAAACTAATATTTCAAAAGCACTCATTTCTGCAATTTATTTAGTCATTTGTTTATCACAATATACTTTTTTTTTCATTAAAAGGGGAATTTCATGCCCTACTTTAAAGTAAATATATATGTAAAACAAAAATGAAAAATGCATGATAAACAACAATTAGAAAAATTGTAATGCATAACCAGTTTTTATTTATCTGATACATTTCACTGAATTAAGGTGCATATATTAATACTGAATCAATCAAGGATAAGAACTGACGAAGCAAAATTTTGTCACTTGCTACTTTTCAATAATCCAGGGCACAGATTAGTGCTACCCCTCGCTTGATCCAGTGTCTCTGTGACTTAATAGTTGGTAATTCCACAGCTATGACATAATTAGTGGAGTGGCCAGTTGTTGATAGTGTACCTGAAATGAGGATTTTTTTTTTGACAAGTTAAGGTGTGAAGATTATATCTGGAATGTTTATTACCAAAAAGGCATGAAAAATACTTGTTATTCAAAGTGCTAAATTGTACTTTACATCTCATATAACAACCAAAGATGATTAAAAATGTGTACATTCATATATCTTTGTGCATGTCAAATATAATCCAACAAATTTCTACACTAAACTTTTAAATAGAAATAGTTACTGTCAATAAAGAAAAAATACTCCTGAGTTATGGGGAAATATCAACTGTATCAGTCCAGGGATTGGTAGGAACACTGGTTTTACACTCAAACAAAAATAGTTTGCATTTTTAGTATGCCTTCTACATAATAAACCAACCTCTCACCCGAGTCTTAATAAAAGAAAGACCATATGAAGAGATACTGATGACAAAAAAGACTAGTCAAAGGGATTAAGGAATCTCTAAAAATAGGAAAGGGAGTTGTGAGGTAGAGATGTTTAGGGTGGAAATTCCATGGCTTAGGGTTGAGGAAACTGAATGCGTGGCTGCTAATGTTGGAACAATTAAAATTGGGGAAAATGCAGTAGGCCAGAGCTGGAGGATAGTAGAGATCTTGGAAGGTTCTAGGTTGAAATGGGTTATATAGATAGGGATGAAAATTGTACCCACTAATACAGAGCCTGTTGTTCTGCTACTCAGGTAAAATTGTGTTTCTTTAATGATACAAAATCAGTCTGTCTTCCAAGGACTGAGCCATGGATTTCCACTGGATTGGTCCAGGTATATTGACAAAGTATTACAGTTTTCCATTGTTTTCTGTAGGATGGATGACCAGGAGACTCTCCCACTCTTACTGTTTGCCATTAGGTGGCTTTGGAAGGATTTACAGGCTGATATCAACTTGTTTGTGGCCACATTACAAATATACCTTCCATACCTAGCATGGGACTCGAACCTACAGCTTCTGGCCCAGAAGTACGGATGCTACTACGACATCACAAGACCTCCTACATGAAATCCATTTTTTGATAAACATTGAATCAAACCTGAAATTCACTGCTTATCAGACTGCAATCTGATTTTCTCTTTAATTGCAATTTTACTTAGGGAACCACTGGTACAAATTATGTGTTTAGATTTATTGCTATTAATAGCAACTAACTTGAGTAAGTCAGAAGTGACAGTTTGTGGGCAAGGCAGCAAAACTCCAAGTGCCTTTAATCCATGGTTGTTAGCATGTCTCCAAAGGTGTCTAGCCAGAAAATGCCACCTCCAACTGATACATAATGTGCTCCAAATATAATAATTCAGGTACCTACATTGCATTGCAGCATAACCAAGTTATATAACACATTTGTTGCCCAGCCAACAATGTGCATAGAATTCCCATTGCCATATGATTTACAAAGCTGAAGATCATCAGTTGGAATGTGGGATTAGGCTAGATGGTTATATGTTGGCTGACTTTGGTAACCCATCCTGATGTTAATTTCCAGACTTTCCCATCCCATATGTCCTGGAACCTGCCTCCTCTGCCCTGAAAAACCCACTCAAAGTGCCTGACTGAATTAGCATGATATGAGAAGTGAAGGGGGATGCCATTCTCCATCCTTTCAGACTGAAATGGAGATGATTGGAGTTGAATATATTCCCTCAATGGAAATGACATAGATGAGTGAGAATGGCTTTTGGTGGGCATGGAAAGGCAAGAAAATGGGTGTGCAGATAGAAATATGAATTAGAGAAAAGAAAATGTTTGAGCTGTTTCTTTTAAAAAAAAGAGACAGTAGAAGAAGATAATATAGTGGGCAAGAAATCCATGTGGATGGAGAAGTGGAAATGATTAGAAATGCTATTGTTAGTGATTAAAATCTTGGAGGTGGCAAGGCTTTCATGGTAATGAAGTTGAAAGGATCAACACAGCTAGCAGCTCAACCCAAATTCTATCCTAACCTGAAGCACACAAAAGCAAAGACTAGCTAGCGTTGGCTGGAAATTTATGAGGGCCCAGATTTGCTAACCCACAATAGATTGGTGATCATACATTGAGATCTCCTGGACCAGCTAGTCACTGTCTGCAACAACTAAAGATTTAGCACATCTCTTTTGAAAAGCAGCCTCTGCTTGTTGAACCCAATTTTTGTAAATGTTCATCCTATATATGGGACTAGAAATTTGCTTGCTAAGTTTAATAAATTAGTGGGATATTTATTTATAAATATGTTTATGATTCAAATTAGGACACATAGGCAGGCAAACTGTAATCAAGCAATCAGCCTTTAAACAGGAGTTGTTTTGAGTACAGCCTCTATTCTGTGGAAGAGAAAAGATAGGGTAACCAAAGCCAGAACACCTTGGATGATTAAAGAGATAGAGGACAAGATGAAGCAGAATAACTGGGTGTGTGACAGGATGACAGGCTGATAATATCTGGGACAACTAGACTGAATATAAAAGATTCAGAGGTGAAGTTAAAATAAAACAACATAAAAAGGGCAAAGAGAGATTATAAGAGACCACCAGCTAACATTAAAGGGAATCCAAGTGTGGAATTTAATGTTGTCCCCCAAAGAGAGTTTGAGGAAGTAGGTAATCAGGCAGGAGGGTACTGCACGGTGACCGCACTGCCTTCCTGTCTCTGCCCCAATTCATCCAATCAGGATAGGTCCTGGTTGGTCTTCCCGTCACACTGCCAATTGGGGCCTTTAAATGGACGTATGATTCAGAGCATAACAAGGTGTGGAGCTGGATGAACACAACAGGCCAGGCAGCATCAGAGGAGCAGGAAAGCTGACGTTTCGGATCTGGACCCTTCTTCAGAAATGGGGGAGGAGAAGGGGGCTCTGAAATAAATAGAGAGAGGGGGAAGCGATGATAGAAGGTGGATAGAGGAGCAGATCGGTGGAGAGAAGATGGACAGGTCAAGGAGGTCTCCTTGTTATCTCCGATTCCAGCATCGACAGTTCCTACTATCTCTGATTCAGAACATGTTCTTTTCGCAGCCTCGTAAATCAAATAGTTCACCTCTTGAGTGTCTATGTTCCAATACTGTGGGCCAACTTAGAGGCCAAAAGAGCAGATCTGTGAGAAGCTGGACACTGCAGAATCTCAGAATACTTAAGGAAGTGGCCTTAGAAATAGTCAATGCATTGATGATCATTTTTCCAAATTCTTTAGGCTCTGGAACAGTTCCTACAGATTGGAGGGTAGCTAATGTAACGCCAGCATATAAAGAGGGAAATAGTAGAGAGAAAACAGGGAATTATAGACCAGTGAGTCTGATGAGTGGTGGGGAAGATGCTAAGAGTCCATTATCAACAATTTTATAGCAGAACATGAAGAAAACAGCAATAAAATCAGACACAGGCAGCATGGATTTACAAAAGGGAAATCATTCTTGACAAATCTGCTGGAATTCTTTCAGGATGGAACTAGGAGAGTTGATTGTTGGAGCCAGTGGATATGGTTTATTTGGACTTTCAGAAGGCTTTCAACAAAGTCCCACATAAGAAATTATGGTGTAAAATTAAAGTGCATGGGATTGGGGTACTGTATTGAGATGAATAGAAAATTGGCTAGCAGTCAGGAAAAAGAGTAGGAAAAAATGGGTCTTTATCTGAATGGTAGGCAGTGACTAGTGGGATACAAGCAATTAACTGCAGTTGGTGGACTCTGTACTGAAAATAACAAATGCTAGAGATCACAGTGGGTCCGACAGCATCCGTGGAGACACAGCAAGCTAACATTTCGAGTCTTGATGACTCTTCATCAGAGCTAAGTGAAATGTGGAGGGGACAGCATTTATGATATAGTTGGGCTGGGATGTAGAGTGCTAGTGGACTAAAGATGTTGATATAACAAGGTGTAGAGCTGGATGAACACAGCAGGCCGAGCAGCATCATAGGACCAGGAAGGCTGACGTTTCAGGCCTAGACCCTTCATCAGAAAATGATAGATCAGATTAAGTGATCCACACGTGAGAATGGCAGAACAATGGTGTGTCTAACTGCCAGACTTGAAAGAACAGACAGTCCCACTGGGGTAGGGGTAGGGGAAGGGGAGAGAGGACACGGTGACAGAAATTATAACAAGTAAAGCTAAAAGAAATGGGAGAATGTAACAAGTAAAGCTAAAAGGGAAGAAATGGGAGTTGGTTTACAATTTATTGGTGTTGAACTCAATATTAAATCCAGAAGACTGTGAAGTGCTTAGTCTGAAGATGAGATGTTGTTCCTCCAGTTTGCGCTGTGATTCACTGGAGCACTGCAGCATGCCGTGGATGGACAATTGGGCATGCGAGCAGGACGCTGCGTTAAAATGACTGGCTACGGGAAGGTTGGGGTCATGCTTGCGCACTATCCAGATGTGTTCTGTAAAGCTGTCACCCAGTCTGCATTTGGTTTCTCCAATGTACAGTAGGCCACATTGGGTGCAGTGAGTACAGTACACAAGATTGGAGAAAGTACAGGTGAAATGCTGCTTCACCTGAAAAGACTGTTTAGGCCCTTGGATGGTGAGCAGAGAGGAGGTGAAGGGGCAGGTGTTGCACCTTCTGTGCTTATATGGGAAGGTGGGGGGTGGTGTTGGTCGTCGTGGAACGGACTGAGGTGTCTGGGAGTGAATGATCCCTGTGCAATGCAGACAGGGGGAGTAAGGGGAAGATGTGTTGGATGGTGGCGTTCTGTTGGAGTTGTCTGGAGAATTGCGGAGAATGATCCTTTGAATGCGAAGGCTGGTGGGATGAAAAGTGAGGACAAGGGGAACCTGATCACGCTGTTGTGAATGATGGGAAGGGGCAAGGGCAGAAGCATGGATGATAGGTCGGATGCGGTTGCGGGCCATGTCAGCCACAGTGGGTGGGAAACCCTGGTTATGGAAGAAGCAAGCCATGTCAACAGCGCTGTTTTAGAAGGTGACATCATCCAAACAAATATGACGTGGGCAAAGAAACTGGGAGAATGGGATGGAGTCTGTGTAGGACGTGGGGTGTGAAGAACTGCAGTGAAGGCAGCTATAGGAGGAAGTGGGGTACCACAGGGATTGGTACTAGGACCCCAGCTATTCGCAATGTATGTTAATGATTTAGATGAAGGAACTAAATGTAATATCTCAAAATTTGCAGAAGACACAAAGCTAGGTTGAAGGCTGAGTTGTGAGGTTGATGGAGAGATTTTGCAGTATGATTTGGACAGGCTGAGTGAGTGGGCAAGTACATTGGCAGATGCAGGATAGTGTGTATAAATGAGGTTATCGACATCAGTAGCAAAAATCGGAAAGCAGATTATTGTTTGAATGGCTGTCAATTGAGAGAAGGGAATGTTCAACGACACCTGAGTGTCCTTGTGCAACTGGTGCTGAAATTAAGTGCAAAGGTGCAACAGGCAGTAAAGTTAGCAAACAGTATGTTGGCCTTCAATAGCTACAGGAATCAAGTACAGGAACAAAGATATCTTAGTACAATTATACAGGGTATTGGTGAGGCCACACCTGCAATATTGTGTGCAGTTTTGGACTCATTATCTGAGGCAAGATACCCTTGATACAGAGGCAGTGCAGCTGAAGGTTTACCAAATTGATCCCTGAGATGGCAGGATTGACATACGAGAAGAGATTGTGTCAGTTAGGATTGTATTCACTGGAGTACAGTGGAAAGGTGGTGGTGGTGATTACAGAAACCCATAAAATTCTAACAGTACTAGACAGCTTAAATACAGGAAGGATGTCCCAGATGGTGGGGTAGTCCAAAACCAGGGATCATAGTTTAAGAATAAGGGTGAACCTTTTAGGACTGAGGTGAGGAGAAATTTCTTCACCTAGAGAGTGGTGAGCCTGTGGAATTCACTTCCATAGAAAGTATTTGGACCCAAAACATTATACGCTTTAAAAAAGGAGGTAGATATTGTTCTTGAGGCTAAAGGGATCGAGAGTTATGGGGAGGAGGGTGGGATTAGGGTATGGAACTCAATCACCTATGATCATAATGAATGGCGGAGCAGGCTCAAGGGGTCAAATAGTCTACTCCTACCTTCTTTGTTTCTATATTTTCAAGTCAGAACATCTTTACCTAGAGAGAAAATTCAATCCAAGAGTGGTTCTTTCTGCCTCAAACATTGTAGCCTGAGGAAGATTAATGAGCACGGACAGAGGCTACTTGAACTTTGTCATGAATTCTCCCTTTCAGTCTGCACTTGATCCATGCTGGGACCAATATTTTAGCAAACTGTTTATGGGGTCATTGACTATTTTTAGGTAGACGTAGATAGATATTTGTTGTCCTCCCCTTCTTGCAGAGGAGCCAGAGGTTGTTAGGAGTAAATGGGAATGTGGAATTCAAAATACAAAGATCTGGCATGATCTTTTGGAATGGCAGAGCAGCCTGAAGGGGGCAAATGACTTGGTTCTGCTTCTAGGTCATTTGCATCCTTTGGCACAGAGCGCAGAAGCAAAATGAACAATACTTTGAGGCATGATCTACAATATCACGCTCATAACATATGGAAAGCAAGGGTAGAAAGTTGCTAACTGGCTCTAGGCTAATGTTACTGTGATGAACCTTGTCATTGAAGCCAAGTAGTCCATTGTTATTAATTACAGGAGCCCAATGTAAGGGCTTCATCCCTGCTATGCTGGTATTCAATCAAGTGAAGTCACTTGGGAAGCCTGGAACAGCCTGGAAGCCCTAGGGTTCATTGTGGGAGAGGACGAGATGTGGAATCCCTGAATCAAAATTACTCAATCTAATCTAGAGATCAGCATCTGAAAGGGGCAGGGCGAGAGAATGGTGACCTGCTGAGACTCATTTCCCTGACCTGTTTACTCCCACACCTGCCTACCCAGTGTGACCCCTTGCCTTGTCACCTGTGGTTTGGGTTCCTTGCTGATCCTAAACCCCGGGTGAGTGCATTACTGGCAACTTCCACTACTTCCCCAGTGTTGCTAGTAACAATGAGGAGTAATTGACCCCTGCATGGCTCCCCCCACATTAACTTGATTTTGGAAAAACATTTATCTTCATAAACAGAGCCAAATTTGGCTACAAACAAAATACTGAGCAGAATAATCATTCCTGGGTCACAGTTGTGCTGATGGGATGAAATATGGGTCATGAACCCACATCTGGCAGCAGGACAGAGAAGACGATTTCAGGGGAGGTGGACATTTGGGTGTTCCAATTAAATATGCTGATCTGTGGTGCCAATAAAAAGTTATCAAGCACTGAAGGATTGGCAGCCCCTGTGTCAGAGGTTGGTATAGATAAAGTACGTAGGGAGATGTGAAGCTGCCTCCAATCCTGGTAGCTGGCACAATAGGGATCAGTGAAAGAACCAAAACATTTAGGGCCATTGACCAAGATGGAGGATTTCCCCACAATAATGGGCTCAACAAATCTGGTATTAACCAACTGAAAGATTGGCAAAACGTCACCTCATATCTTTGCATTACCCTTGTTGCATTTGACTTTTGGAATACTGCCGCCCTCATGATTGGAGCCTTTGGCTTTGATATCTATCTTGCCTGCCAATAGGAGGCTTCCATGTTTTCACGGATGGAAAATCCAGTGGGCAATCAGAAAGTGCTTTTAGTTAAGCCCTCAAGGGTCTTAAATGTTTACCTGTTGTGGCTGTGCCAGAAATCAGTCCCTTCTGTCACACTAACTCTGGCAGAATCCCCTACAGGTGGCAATAAGTTGTGAAGCTGGCCCAATGGGATTTCCCTCAAGTACTCCATGTCCACAATCATTGAAAACTCAGCACATTGTGTCAACTCTGGGCACAAAACTTTAGGAAGGATGTGAAGAATTAGACAGGCTGCAGGAATGATTTCCAAGAATGATACCAGGGAGGAGGAGGGGTGGATTGGAGAACCTTGGGATTTTCTTCTCAGATCAGTAAAATGTAGAAATTTCATAAAGGTTTTCAAAATTATAATAGTTCTAGACAGAACTGATAGAAAGAAATCATCCCCTTTGGCCTAAGAGTGAGAACCAGAGGACCCCTATTTAAGATGAAGACAAAAGAGAAAATAACATGAGAAAAAGCTTTTTCACTCAGTGAGTAGTTATGATCTGGAATGGATTGACTGAAAGGGTGGCTATATCAGATTTAATTGCTGCTTTAGCAAAGGCCATAAGAAAATGAAGTTACAGAGCTACAGGGATGGGGTAAGGAATGGGTAGCTTTTGCAGAAAGCTGGCATTTGCTTCAGGAGCCAAATGGCTTCCTTCTATGTATGAGCATTTTAATATTATATAAACTAATGATATAGAGATTTCTCCCATGACAAGCACAATGTTACTGAGTTTCTCTTACCAGCTCGTGTGAGTGTCTTGTATATTGGACAGAGGTAAATTCCTTGTTGTGGTATTTTACGATTTGCAGTTGGATTTAACCAGATCACAGCCATATCTGTGTAGAGTTCTTTGGGCCGAGATTCACCCAGTTGAAACAAAGCTTGGTCCCAGCGAGCTCCCTCCAAAAACAGACCATAGATATAACACCCAACTTTGGGACGATCCAAGTCAAAAGGTGAATTCCCAATTACCTGAGAATGGGACAGTATTGATTAGATCAGTGCATCTTAAAAAAAAGTCATTTTCTTTTATTGCAATGAGTAAATAAAACACACATAAATAAATAAATATATGCAGACCATTTCTCCTTCTGTTCACTCCTGAAAATATTTATCAATTACAAATTCAAAAAAATTGAGATGGCAAAGCTTAACCTTTTAGTTTCCATACCAGTTCTTAACTCAACATTTGTATTTGAGTGGGTTTTTGTTTCCATTGAGATTGATTAAAATTAGAGGTATTTTTAAATTTTTAATTGATTTAAATTACATGCTTTCTCAGATTATCATACAAAGCAGGGTAAATATGTTGCAGGTTGTTAATTAATAATTAATGAAAGTTTTTCAGTATGGAGAAAGGTTTGTAATGAAGGTACCCAGAGATCAGTTTTGGAATCCTTGCCTGTTGATATATATGAATGACCGTGGTGCATAGGGCACAATTTTCAAAACTTGAAGATGATACAAAACTCGGAAGCATTGTAAAATATAGAGACTGTAAGATAGAATTTCAAAAGGCTGTTCATAAATTGTTGGAATTGTGGCCAGTGATAGTGAATTTCTATGTAGAGAAATGTGAATGGATATTGACAGATAATAAAAAATAAAGGACACAATACTAAAGGGGCTGCAGGAGCAGGGATCTGGGTGTTTATGGGCATAGGTTATTGAAAGTGGTGGCACAGGTAGAGAGCTAGTTAATGAAGCTTACAGTATCTCTGGCTTTATTAAAACAGATGTAGAGTATGAGAGTAAGGAAATCATGATTAATTTGGCTTCACCTCGAATACTGTATCCAGTTCTGGATTGTACAATTTAGCAAGCATATGAAAACTTTTGGGAGGACACAGGAAATATTTATGCAGATGATTCCTAGGATGAACAGCTTCAGTTATGAAGGTAGATTGGAGAAAAGAAAGTCAAGAGGTGATTTGATACAGATATTCAAAATCATGAAGAGTCTGGACAGGGTAGACATAGAAAAACTGTTTACACTTGTGAGAAGATCAAGAAAGTGATTGGTAACAACAAAAGCATGTAAGCAAAACCTATGCAGAGAGTGGTTAGATCTGGAATGCCCTGCCTGGATGTGTGGTGGAGGCATGTTCAACTGAAGCATTTCAAATGGAATTAAATTGTTTTCTGGAAAGGTAGAATTTGTTTCCAAAAAGGTGATGGAGTAGGACACCTCAGCTGGAGATCATCCACTCTACCCGTTTCTTTTTTTTCTCTTTTCTCTTTTCATATTTCTGCTGTTTTTTTTCACTCCTGGCCTCAGTGCAGACCCAGCGAGGCATTCTCTCAGACTGGCCCAGCCCATAGCAGTCTCTTGGCGGCCTGTGGTAGTCTCTCAGCTCAGTGGTGTTTCGGCCTGGTCTCTTGGTGACCTGTAGCAGTCTCTCGGCCTATCTCTTGGTGGCCTGTAGCAGTTTCTCGGCCCAGCAGTGTCTCAGGTGTGTTCCGGAGGCAGCGAGAGGAGATTGGTGAGGTGGCAGCTTCAGCTTCAGCAACAGCATTGAGAACAGCCAGCTGAGGTCTCGCGGAGAGCGAGCTAAGCGGAGGACTCGTCAAAGACTGTTAAACTTTTAACCTTATTCCTTTATTTTTCTAGTTTATATTAAGAAGGACTTTAATGTTAACTATTACCTTATTTCTTTATTTTTCTACTTATGTTAAGAAGGTAATGCTGAACTTTCTAACCATTTCTTTTAATACTTTGGACCTAATTTTTTTTCTACCTAGGTACCTTTATGCCTAAGATGACACCTGTGTGACATTATACATTTTTCACTGTATTCCTGTACTTCTGTACTTGAGTACGTGTGACAATAAAATCTAAACATAAATCTAAAATATCTAAAGTATGTGCAGGAGTACAGAGAGAGGGAAAGAATAGTACTAGGTGAGTTGCTCATTCAGAGTCAATGCAGACACAGGCCTCTTTTTGAGCTATAACAATTCTCTAATTCTCTGATTTGCAGATAAGCAGACTGATGTTCTTATTCTATTTGGTCTGTTTGGATGAAATTGCATTTATACTGGGCTGAAGATATTCCTTGATAGACATATTATTTGAACCAAGTGCCCTATGTTGCAGTTACTTGCTAACACAAATGATTGTCCACCCAGGAAATTCCATGTCACTGGTCATGGGTTTTGTAGGTCTTTGCATGGCTCATGAGCTCAGTCCTTGAGGTGTATCTCCAACCACCCACTGGGCTGATGTTTCCAGATAGTGAAATTGGTCCTTGGCCTTTAGGTCATTGGCATTCCTTTTTCCAGTTCCTTTTCGCGTCCCTTTACACAGGAGTTTCCTCCACGTGGGTTTTTTCTGAATGCGGGTCTCCCATGTGTTAACATTGATGTTATAATTTTTGAAGGAAGCCTTCAGGGAATCTTTGAAACACTTCCTTTGTCCTCCTCTCATTTGAGTGCCTTTCTTAAGCTAGGCAAAGAAGATTTGCTTTGATAGTCGGAACCCAGTATCTTAAGCACGTGGCCAGCTCAGTGGAGTTGGTTTCAGATGATAATGGCCTTGATGCTGATCCTATTTGTTGCTTTGGGGTACTGATGTTAGTACACTTATCCTCTCAGGTGATGTGTAAAATCCCTCTCAAGCAACATTGATGGTACTTGAGGTGGCATCTATATATAATTGTCACAAAGTTGGGTAGAGGTATTTGTGGATTGGAAGACAGGATGGTAGAATCTGATGTTTATAAACTGATACAGGGGAAGAGTGAATAGTGCCTTTAAAAGATGATGTGTTTTTTCTAGGCTTGGAGATTTTAAAAAATGTGCAGGTGCATAGAGAGTTCCTGAAATTGAAACATTAGAAACCCAGGCAGTAGTCTTGTTTTATTAGCAAGGCAACCAGTTTGAATATCAATCAATTAAGTTAAACCAGGCACTTAGAGACTAAAAAAAAATTAAATTTAAATCTGATGGTTTTGACACAGGACCAATCCTATTGTAAGAAGTTGATAGGTCATCAAAGGTATAAAAGAAGAGGACATTCGAAAATTGGTGTGAGAGCAACTGCCATCTGTTAAGAGAATAGCTTTCAACAGCCATCAGCTCTAAAGAAAAAGAATGTCACTGGCTCTCACAGAAAACTCTAAGCTCTCAGAGGAAGCACGATCTAAATAAAGGTACTACAGCACTCTCAGCTAATATTCCTGACACGAAGTTGACAGAGAAAGGTGTTCCTGACTGGAGAACAGCAGAAAAGGCAAAGAACATTCCGGAAGACTTATCCTGGCTATGATTTTGAGAGACTAGATTTTAATTTATTTTCTTATTACTTTGGTTTATATAAGTGGGACTTGTATTTATTGGAACAGCATACCATTAGAATTTTGTTTTATTCCGGAATAGTTGGTAGTTAAGATGGAATTGTTTGGTGCGTTAATAGTTCTGTTAATTTGTTTACTGTTAGAGTTAGATGAATAAATTGTTATTGTTGATTACAAAGTGAGTATCAGGGATTTCTTTCATTTAACCACTCCTTTATAACATATTGGGGAGGTGAGAGGCGGTTTATACCACTTTTCATACTTCCTTTAACAGATTACAAGGCAAGGCGAGCTTCTCTGGGTGTTTTGGTTTTAGTTATCGTTGGTGGGTGTCAACCTCTGCTTTGTAAAATAATCAAGCTTCTGCAGCCATACAGAAAAGGTAGAAGGATGACTGCCTTATACACAAGGGTCTTGGTATCAACACGGATGTCACGGTTGTCAAAGATTCGCATCCAAGGGTGGCACTCGCAGATTGGATGTGACGGTGAATCTCCAGATCAGTGTCAGCCTTAGATGAGAGGCGTCTGGGAGGATTTCTCCTTTGGAGGGCTGGACTGGAACTTGACCTGGGAATGGGTCGGTAAAGGATTTAAATCCTCTTAAGGTTGAGGCTGAGAACAATTCTTCAATATGATTCTGTGAAGGCGTCAAGTGAAGCTTGAAGATTCTCTTCTCACAGAGCAGAGATAACATTGTTACTCACATACTGAAGTTCGACAACTGATGCTGGTGTCATTTCTTTCTTGGATTTCAATCAGTTGAGGTTGAAAAGTTTTCCATCCATCTCGTAGACAATGTCCACACCACTGAGAAGCTTGTTTTTGACAAAATGAAGAATGGAGAAAAGGGTGCGGGGGTGCTGACACCTCCCTGCCGGATTCCTGTCTTGACCTCAAAGGATTCTGTCACATTACTATTGGTGAGGACTGTCATCGACGTCATGTCATGGAGGAGATGGAGGATGTTGATGAATTTCACTAGACAGCCAGCCTTTGACAGGTTCTTCTATAGCACTTCCTGATTGACTTGACCAAGGCTTTTGACTCAGTCAATGAAAGCCATGTAGAGCAGTTGTTTTTGTTCCTGGTTTTCCTCTTGGAGTTGTTGAACAGTGAAAATCATGTTCATTGTTCCATGGCTTGATTGTAAGTCACACTGGCTTTCAGGAAGGATTTCCTCTGAGACAGGGAGAAGGTGCCTAACGAGGAATTTGGCAATGATTTTCCCAACGATGGATGGTAGGGAGATTCCTTAGTAGTTTCCACAGTCTACTTTATGTCCTTTCTTGTAGTCAGTGTGATGGCAGGGATTTATTTCTTCTTTATTCTAGATTCTCAGGAACAGTTGATGGAGAGTCCAAAGTCTAAGGATGTGTAGGTTAATTGGATTAGCCATGGGAAATGCAGGATTGCAGGGATAGGATAGTTGGGTGGGTCTGAGTAGGATGCTCTTTGGTGGGGCGGTATGGACTCAATGGGCCAAATGGCCTGCTTCCACACTGTAGGGATTCTATGATTCTATGAGAGGATGGCTAAGTTCTGCTCTTCCAAATTTGAAAATCTCCCCTGGAATTCCATCTACTCCTACAGCTTTCCAGTCTAATGGTGGCTTCAACTTGTGCCACACTAGGTGGGAATTTGGAGGATTTCCTCAAAAACATCTTCATCGATGTATGTATTGTGGTTTAGGAGTTCTTTGAAGCATTCTCTCTGTTGGAGGTTGATATTTTCTTTGTTTTCAACAGGGTGCCATCCTTACTCCACACAAGTTTGAGTACAGGGTGTTGGGTCTGTATATTGCCTTGGTGGCACTGAAGAAACTCCAGGTATTGTGCTTGTCAGAAAGGAGTTGCAGCTCCTTAGCTTTCTTGGTTCCACTCATTGCTTCTTGATTTCCCTAGTTCTTCTCTGTAACTCTGCCTTTGCTGTTTGATCAGTTTTCCTCTTTGCCTTGCTGGTGATGCTGTTTTGCCAGGTACAGACAGCTTTCTTCTTCTTCCTCTGACAGACGAGCTGAAGACAAGCTGAAAGATAAGTTTTGCTTTTTTGTGGGTCAAGAGGAGCTGGATTTTTCGTTCAGGCTTCACAACAGAAACTTCTGCCCCTGCAACATCTGACCTCCCATCTGGAGAACAGCTCCACCTCAAGCTCAGAGGTGATGGCACGGGATGTCGGTGGTAAGGATCTAGAGTCTGTGGATTTCCATTAGGGGATTATTTTTATTTCTACCCATTGTTTGCTGTCAAATAGTTCCCATCAGGATTATTGCACTTGAAAAGCAAACCATTAAAATTCATTTTTAAGCACAGTCATTCCATCTATATAAATGTTTTATACAATGGCAAATTTCTACAGCAAAAACATTTCTCCCATGTACCCATACCACGAGGTGAAAAAGCATCCTCATACTCTGAAATTGACAAAAGCACTGACCTACAATCTGCCAGTGCCCCTTACTTAGGATCTGAAGCAGAAGACAAGAAGCCTCAGTCTGGCATTTGTCCAACAGGTTTGAGGTTCTTTCAATTTGCATAGATGAGATTAGGGACAGCAGGGTGAGTAAGCAAATTGACTACACTCACAGTTTTGCATTGTTCTGTATAGCTGTAGTGGCTGGTGTTAGGGTTCAGAACATCTTTTCCCTGCTAGAGAGAAACTTGGAGGCGGGGTTGCCAGAGGGAGGAGTGGATTGGGGTGATCCAGTTATTGTGGTCGATTGTAGGAATCAATTACATAGATAGGATTGGAAAAGAGATTCTGTTTAGATGTATGAGTAGTTAGGGGATAATTAAAAAAAAATCAGAACCATAAAGGGAATAATTTCTGGATTATTATTACCTGATCCAAAAGTAAATTGGCATAGGGTCATTTAAGATAAGGGAGTTGAATGCATGACTCAATGATTGGGAGAATGAGTTTCAATTCATGGGGCACTGGGAAAAGTACAAGTTTTGTACAGTCTACCTGAATCACATTGGATCAATGTGCTAGCGAGTCATATACAAGGATGGAAAAGAAGGCTTTAAACTAAATAGTGGGCTGGGTGGAATCATGTGGGGTAAACTACAGGGAGAGTACAAGACCATCTAGCAAGATAGCAGTGAGAAGATGATGATCATGGCAGGATGGGATATAGCATACAAGTTTAAGCATGTGCCAACAATTAAGGCAAAAATAGGAAATAGACAAAATTAAAGGCTGCGGAACTGAAAGCATGTAACATATGTAGAAAAACCAATGAATTGGCAGCACACATAGAAATAAAATTGTATGCCCTGATAAGTGCTACAATAAGTGTGGCTGTCTGACCAAGCTGGGTCTGAATATTCAAGAACACTTGACAGTTTCAAAAGACAGGAAGCTAGGAAAGGTAGGTGGAGTAACTCTGTTAATGAGGATGACATTGACACAATAGGGAGGTGATCTTAGATCTAAAGATCAAGATGTAGAATAAACTTGGGTGGAGATAAGAAATAGTAAAATGAGAGGTCACTTTTGGCAGTATTTTATAGGATGCCTAATGATAACCACAGTATAGGATGGTATATAGAGGAAGAGATAAATGAAGTGCGTAAGAAAGGGACTAATACTCATGGATGATTTTAAGTTACAAATAGATTGATTGAATCAGTTATCAAAGGATGAGTTTATGGAATATCTTTGGTACAGATTCTCAGAGCAGCACCTTCTAGAGCCTACCAAAAGATTAATTAATGATACCAAAGTAAAGGAACCATTAGGTGTCAGTGATCATAACATGATTGAACTTTGCTCTCAGATTGAAGTTGGGGTCTAAGATGAATGTTTTAAACTTAAATAAAAGCAGCTACAAAAGGTATGAAGGCAGTACTTGATAAATTGAACTGGGCAATTAGTAAAATAGTAGGACAGTAGAATTGCAGTGGCAAACATTTTAAGGAAATTTTTCATAATTTTCAGCAAAAATGTATTCCAATGAGAGAGGATATAAGAAGGATGCACTATCTATAGCTAATGAAAGAAGTTAACGGTGGCATCAAATTGAAATTAAAAGGTTTTAATTCTATGAAAGTTAGTGGTATGTTTGGAAGGAGAATTTAGAGACTGAGAGAAAACAGCTGGAATATAAAAAAAAATTAGTAGGTGTTTCTACAAGCATTTCTACAAAGGAAAAGAGCAACTCAACTAAGATGGTCCTCGAGAAAGTAAATCTGAGGAATTAATAATTGGAAAATAAGGAATTGGTGGAATTGTTAAGCAGATATCTTGTGTCTATCTGCAATGTAGAAGATATAAATAACATTACAGAAAACTAGTAAATCAATATGTGAAAGGGAGAGAAGAACATAAAACACTTACAATCAGCATTTAGGAGAGTAAATTGTGAAGTGGAAGTAAAGAGTGAGCAAAGGGATATAGATTAAGTAGTGCGGTAAAGTTTGGCAGATGGAGTATATGTGGAAAGTGTGAATTTGTCCACTTTGGCAGGAGCAATAGGAAAGTAGTACAATATTTAAATGGAGAGAGATTGCAGTATGCTGCGGTCTAGAGGGATCTGGTATCCTATACATGAATCACTAAAGGTTAGTTTGCAGGTATAGCAAAGACCGGGAAGGCAAAATTTGTTTTATTCACCATGGGATGTGGACATTGCTAGCTGAAAGGGCAGTTATGAGTAAACCACACTGCTGTGGGTCTCAAGCTCACATAGACCAGGCAGGTAAGGATGGCAGAGTTTCTTCTGTAAGGGGCACCATTAGTGCATTAAATGGATTTTTATAACAATCAGCAGTGGTTGCATCAGACTAGCTTTTAATTCCAGATTGGTATTGAATTCAAATTTCACCATTTGCCATGGTATCTGCTCAAATGTATATTGATATGTTTAATTGGGTTTATTGATGCTTGAATTCAAGTCTACTACATAGGGGAGGTCCCAAGGTCTATCTGATCTATATTGACTTGATTCCAATGTTGTTTCGGGGTGATCTATCTGCCCAAATGTCTCTTTATATTATGCCATGTTTTACCTGATAAATGCCTGTGGATTGTGTTGGGATTTCAGTACCATATTACAAATGTAATATAATTATAAGTTTTTGTACTTATATTTTGTACCAGTATCATTGGGTAAGGAAATAGAAGATCATTAAAGTTTTCTGCTGGTGATACCAAATAGAATGATCAAATGTTTGATTAAAGAGATAGGTTTTAAGCAATGTGCTTAAGGGGGAAAGAGAAGTGAAAAGGCAGTTTGTTCAGGGAGGGAATTCCAGAGTGTCTAGACAACTGAAGCAATGATGAAGCAATTTAAAATTCAGAATGCTCCAGAGACTAGAACTAGATGAATGTAAATATCAGCAAGATATCATCAACTTGCTGCCAGGAAATTGACATTTCAGCTCCCATCTAATAAGTAACTCTGCAAGTCACATTTTTTTTGCCACAAATTTGTCTACTAACCTTCCAAGAGCATCTCATACTGATTGCTTTTGACATTTAGCATAGAAGACTGTTATTCCAACAATCAGAGTTGAGTCTGAGTTCAGATCTTAGTGGTGAAAGCCATATGTAATCGATGGTACTACGTAGTTCCTCTCCCTGTTCCTTACCTTAAAGTCAAACGATATTACGTCAATAGAGATAACTGACTGTCTTGCAAAGTTCTGGAGTGTTCCTGTTAGAAATGCTTGTGGGAAGAAAAATCCACTTATCCAGAAAGCAGCAGGAATGCCATCAGTAATCCATTTCATTAGGAAGTTGATTCGTTCAAGAAGATCCTGTACCCATGAGGCTAAGGGCTTCAGTGACGGATATGCCTAAAAAATACACAAACTGGGTATTAAGTGAAACTGATTGGATTTTTGACATTTATGCATCTTCTATATTAGGGTATTTTAAAGTAAGATTTCCTTTATGCATATTATCGGAGTTACTTATTTAAGGATAATAGGAAAAAAGTACAACACTTTTCATATTCTCAGGACATTGCAAAGTGCTTACAGAACTTAATTATTTTAGAAGTGTAGTCACTCTTGCTAATATAGAAAGTCCCACAAACATCAACGAGATAGTGACCAGATCATCTGTTTCATTGATTTTAGTTGAAGAATAAGTATAGGCCAGGACACCAGGGAGAAGTCCACTGCTCTTTTTGAATAGTGCTTTGAAACTTTTATTTCGATTGAAAACAAAGACAAATCTCAGTTTAGCACTTCACAGTAAAAAATGACACATCCAACATCGTAGTGTTTCCTCTGTAATATATTACAGTGCTGTCATGGTTTACGTGCTCAGTACCCAAGATCTTTGACACTGTCAACTGAGTTGCAACTCTGAAACCACAACTTGCACTTAGATTCGTTTATCACACATTATTATTTTAACAAATGCAATTGGAAATATAAAACAAACATTAGCTTGCCAGCGATCATCAGAAGAAAATTCTAAACAACATATTAACCTCCCAAATTGCTTTATAAGAGAAGTTTCAGAAAACAAATGACAATCAGCTAAATAAAAAGAAGTGTCAAGTGATAAAAGGTTTTTATAAAGATTTAAGGAGCCTCTAAAGAAAAAGACAGAGACAGACAGAATTAACATTTGAGTTGAATATGGTTAATCTTCAGAGAGAGGTTAAAAATTTTGAAGGAAATGCAGAGCTTAAGTTTCAGACTGCTGAAAACACAGCTGCTAATAAGGAGTAGTTTACTTAATGGAGGGAAAAGTCTATAAGAGATAGTGGCTTTAATTGTAATTCTAATACTCTATAACATATTTAGGTAAAAATGTATCTATTAAGTCTGGTGCTCCCAAATCCACTGGATATGATATTTTCAACTGGTCTTGGTAGAGGTCTGAATTTTTCTAAGTTTAGAACTAGGTATTCCTAATTTTTTGACTGCGGTGTTCCCAAATCTCTTGGTATGGGATTTCCAACTGCTACTAATATTATTGTTCTCAACTACTGTAGGTTGTGTGTCTCTGACTCTTTTTTTTAAACATTACTAACTACACTAGATCAGGTGTTCCTATTTATTCTAGGTGTGATGTTCCTAATTCCCATTGGAACTCTGTTACTGATTGTTCTAGGTATTGTATCTCTAGCTACATCTGTTTGTGCCTTACCAACTGCACTAAATTGCTTTTGCAGTTTATTTTTAAATATTGTCAGTGTGGTGTTTCTCACTGGCACATTAGCCTTATTGATTCAGTTTTACTGCACAGCATTTGAAACAAGTCATAGCCAAAGCGTGCACTTATGCATGGGCTGAAGCCACTGCATTCTGAATTAAGGCAGTAGCCACTCAGTCAAGTCCAGTCAGGAGGGATTCATCTTTAAGGTGGAAACTATGCTTAGTTTAGAATGATTCCTTCTCAATGCCTTCTATTTGTTCAAAGGTTATAAATCTATCATACATATGAATTCAGAGCAGAAGTAGGCTATTCTTCCCTTGAGCCTGCCCCGCCATTCAATAAGATCATGACTGATCTGTCTGTGTTTCAAATTTTGCATTCCCATCTACCCGGAATACCTTTGACTCCCCTGCCTAACAAGATTCTAGCTAAAGCGTAAACAGAAACTGTTGGGAGAACTCACCAGATATGGCAGCCTCTGTGGAGAGAAAGCAGAGTTAGCATTTCAAGTCCAGTGACCAAAGAAGGATCACTGGACTCAAAATAATGACTCTATTTCTCTCTCCACAGATGCTGCCAGACTTGCTGAGTTTCTCCAGCAATTTCTGTTTTTGTTTTGGATCTTCAGCATCCACGTTCTTTTGTTTTATTTAGAAATCTAGCTAACTCTTCCTTAAAAATATTCAATGACCCCAGCACCACCACCTGATGGGTCAGAGGGCTTCAAATCACAAAACCCTCAGAGGAAAAAAAATTCTCCTCACCTCTGTCCTAAAAGGGTGACCCCTATTTTTTAAAAAGATGCCCCTAGCTCTGGCCTTACCCAAAAGAGGAAATGTCCCTTTCCATGTTCACCTTATCATGACCTTTCAGGATCTTATATACTTCGATCAAGTCACCCCTTACTATTCTAAACTCTAATGGAAACATGCCCAGTGTGTCCAACTTTTCCTCTTGAGATAAGATAACCCACTGATTCCAGGTATCAATCAAGTGAACCTCCTTTGAACTCCAATAAGTTTACATTCTTCCTTAAATAAGGAGACCAAAAACTGTATTCAAGTTGTAGTTTCACCACAGCCCTGTATAAGACGTAACATGTTTACTTTTATATTCAATTTCTCTCATAATAAAGGATAGTATTCCTTTAGCCACCTTAATTACTTGCTGTACCTGAATATGAACTTCTTGTGACTCATGCACCTGAACACCTGGATCTCCCTGCATTTCAGAATTTTCCAGTTGTTCCCCATTTAAAAAACACTGTGCTTGTTTTTATTATTCCTGCCAAAGTGATCAAGTTTATTTTCCCACATTATACTCCATCCACCAGTTTTTTGTGCTGTCACTCAACCTTTTTAAGTCAGTCTTCAATCTCCTTATGTCCTGTTCTGATTTCCTATCTTTCCTATCTGCATCTAAAGCTACTTTGTTTTTGCTCCTCTCATTTAAGTCACCGATACAAATCATGAAAAGTTGAATTCCCAGCACTGACACATGAGGACTCCACTTTATCACATCCTGCCAATAAAAGAAACATTTATATACACCCTCTGCTAGCCAGTTAATCTTTTATCCATATTAGTACGTTACTCCTGCACCATGAACTCCCAGTCTGCACAACAACCTTTTGACGTGGCACCTCAGATGCATTTTGGAAGTCCAAGTACAATAGGTCAACACAGCTTCCCCTTTATCCATAACAACATTATTCCTTCAATGAACTCTAAAACATAGGTTAAACATAATATTCCGTTCAAAAAACCATGCTGACTCTTCCCAATTCTAACTGAAATGCTATAACATCCTTAATGACTGAATCAACACCTTTTTCACAACAGATGACAAATTAACTGGTCTATAGTTTCCTGTTTTCTGCCTCCCTCCCTTTTTTAATACAGAGTTATGTTTGCTACTCTCCAGTCTGGTAGAACCTTTCTAGAAACTGGAAGAGTTTGGAAAATTAATACCATTGAATCGTTAGTTTAACACCCTAGGATGAAGTCCATCAGGAGTTACAGAAAACAGAAACATTGCACTAGAATAGGAGTAGGGAGCTTGAATAAAGTTGGAGTTGAGGCATTGGTACAATAGTTAGAATCAATCCATAGCAGCATTAATTTATTCAATACTGCTCCCCTAGTAATTGTAATTCCACCAGGTTTCTCTTTCCTTTCTGATTGATTGTTTGACTTATTGTTGTTACATGTACCGAGATACAGTGAAAAATGTTGTGTTGTGTACTATACAGGCAGATTGTATCATACAAAGCGTATAAGGGTAGCAGAACAGAGTGTTACAGATTGCAGAACAGTGTTACAGTCGCAGAGAAGGTGCAGAGATAGAGAGAGATCAGAATTAATATTTGAAAGGTCCATTCAAAAGTCTGATAATAGCTGGGAAGAAGTTGTTCTTAATTCTATTTGTACATGCATTCAAACTTTTACATCTTCTGCCTGATAGAAGAGGATAGAAGACAAGATAACTGGGGCTGAGGGGTCTTTAATTATGTTGGTTGCTTTCCTGAGGGACATATAAATTGAGTCAATGGATGGAAGGCTAATTTGCATGATGAACTGGGCTGTGTTTATGACTCTGTAGTTTTTTGGTGTCTTGGGAAGAGCAGTTGCCAAACCATACTGTGATGCATCCAAATAGGATGCTTTCTATAGTGCATCTATAAAAATTGGTAAAAGTCCTTGTGCACATGTTGAATTTCCTTAGCCTTTTGAGGAAGTAGAGACCTTGTTGTGCTTTCTTAACTGTCGCGTTAATGTGGGTGGACCAGGGCAGATTGTTAATGATCATCACTCTCAGGAACTTGACCCTCTCGACCGTCTCCACCTCGGCACCATTGATGCAGACAGGGGTGTGTCCTCCAATCTGCTTCCTGAAGTCAAATATCAGCTCCTTCATTTTGCTGACATTGATGGAGAGACTGTTTTCTTTACACCATGCTGCTAAGCACTCAATCTCTTTCCTGTATTCTGTCTCATTGTTGTTTGAGATCCAACTTACCAATGGTGGTTTTGTCAGCAAACTTGTAAATGGAGTTGGGGCAGAATTTGTCTACACAGTCAAGGAGTGTACGTTACACAGTTTACAAGCAGAATAGTAGGGGACTGACTTGCATCCTTATGGGGCACCAGTGTTAAGGATTAAGATGGAGGAGGTGTTGTCTCTTATTCTTGCTGACTGCGATCTATGGGTCAGGAAGTCGAGGATCCAGTGACAAAGGAGGGATCCAAGACCTAGCTCTTGGAGTTTAGAGATGAGTTTATTTGGAATTATGGTGATGAAGGTGGAACTGTAGTCAGTAAGTAGGGGCCTGACATGGGTATCTTTGTTATCCAGATGTTCTAGGGATGAGTGTAGGGCCAAGGAAATGGCAGCTGCTCTGGACCTATTGCACTGGTAGGCGAATTGCAAAGGATCAAGTCAATTTAGTAGGCTGGAGTTGATGTGAGCCTCCTGATTTCTGCCTCCTGATTGACAGTTATTACCAGAATTGTACCCTCTACAGTGAAAACAGAAACACAATAGTTCATTTAATATGCCAGTTTCTTATTATCCACTATTAATTACTCATTCTCAGTCTTTAGAAGACCAACACTCATTGTACTTATTCTTTTCCTGTTTAATTACTTCTGGGATACTGTTGCTGTCATTTTTTACATTTTTA